AATAATAATAATATGCAGTCAAGCCAAGTATGACATGGCAGCTCTTTTTCAGGGATTTCCAGGTGGAGAAAACTCAGAAGTGGTTTCCCCCTTCCCTTCCTTTGGGGGCACCCTGGGACTATGCAGATTGCCCAAGACTACCCAGGCTGGCTCCACTTGCAAGTGGCACAGTGCGGAATCAAACTCCCAACCTGGCTCCGCAGTCAGATACCTGAACTCCCACCGAGTTATCCAGCCAGTTGCTGAGAAGGAAGGATCTCTCTCTTGCAGAGAGTCCTTGTGCAAGTGGAGCTGTTTGGAGCTGTCTTCTTAAGTAAGTGTCTAGACTGAACCCATCATGCATGGGCACGAGAGAATTAAAATGACATTTTAAAACTAAATCTGCCCCCAGCTTTTTTTTTTTTTAAACTTAATTAGCACTGAAAAAGAGATACTAGATTAGACAGGTAAGCCTAGCAATATCAAACAAAATGAGAAAACAGAAAACACATTTATTACATTTATGAGAAGTAGGATAATATAATGGTTAAAGTATTTCTTTTTTCTTTTCTTTTTTCTTTCGGTCAGGATGAAAGCAGTCATGCTATTACTTGCCTCAATGCAAATCAAGGCACACATTTTCAGTTATAGAAATCGTGGCTGAGTTTCAAGCCAGAGCAGCCTTGGAACTATGGAAAAGGGGAGGTTTAAGTCATTCTTTCCTGCTGGACTTGTAGTACAAATGTACTTTCCAAAGCTGTCTGCAAAGCATCATGTCTACTGTATACATTCACTATGTGATAAAATACCAGTCTAAGGCCCTCAAAGGAAAGCTAAAACATTTCAAGAAAAGTAGCCAAAGTGTTCTCCTACTCATCTGTTGTGATTTCTGCCTACTAATTTAAAAAAGTTGAGCTGTGAGACTTATTCCTTCTGTCTGAAAAAGGCTCGAAATACCTTCCATAGTTCATTCTCTTAAACAGGCCCTGCACAACAGCCCATCCAGCCTTCCACAGTCAACTATAATTGCGCTGTGCTTGGTGATAGCCCCAGCCGCACCAATCCACCACTGTTGGCAGCCATCAAAATCAAGAAGAGTAATCACGCTCCTGGAGGCTGTTGCATGTGGATTGTGAGCTACATTTAGCTCAGTGGCCCGCATGTTGAGTAGATATATATTTTCAGGACCTTCCTTGAGTTTCCATTTTTATAAACTGATAGCTGGAACTAGAAAGGGTTATCTTGAGGATGAGAAACATTTGTGCAGGTATCTCCAGCAACAAGAAGGGAAATAACTCCTGTATGAAGAAATCTCAATAACTGGTTGTTGAGACACACAAAATTTTTAGCCTCCATTACTTCTTCTGTCAAGGATTCTGTATTTTATCCAAAAAGTCTCTGTGCCAAGCTAATGTCTTTTCCCTTTATGAAGCTAAGTGCAGGTGTACGACCAGCACAAATGGAAAAGAGGCAAACAACCCATACTTTTCAAAATGCACATGCAACAAGGCAGCACCTGTTGTAGTTTTACATAATTTGCATAATCTGTGCAAAATTGTTGGTGCAAAAGAGCACAGTATCTAGTAGATGAAGTGTTTAAAAAAACATTATGGGATGAAGCAAACAAGGATTTATTTCCTGAGAAATCAGTCATGTTTTTTCTAAGTTTATTTCTCTGGCTTCTTGGGTCTGGTAAGCCAGAGTGCTGGGTTTGAATGTCCCAGTGAAGAACTGTAAAATAGAACCAGAAACCCAGAGGCTTTTTATTATTATCATTACTCATACATACAAAACATACAAAATAAGAACTGACAAAAATAACACAAATAACAAAAGACAACAAAGCTAAACATCCATATTACATATATAGATCAGAGATTTCGCCAGTATCTGGTCATCTAATATCATCAAAGGGTTCTTGTGAGCACTGGTTCGCCATGACTATTTCTTCCCTTAGTTCCTGTTTGTTTCTGGACCCAATCATATGTCAACTTCCAGAAACCCAGAGACTTAATGGCTGCATTTTCTGTGCATATTTTAAGGGTGTTGGCTAGGGTTTTTCTTTTACCTTTGGTGCCTTGGAGGGTGGAGAACATGCCTCCAAGAGGTGGAGCACATGCCTGCCAATAAGATACGTATTGCTTTGTTTATGCCCAGCTTAGCTGAAATCTAATTCCTGTTTATAGTTTTCTAGGGCACGGAGAGATCACTGGGTTTAAATTATGGATCAGATTTTCTGTGGGTGGTTGAATAGAAATTACCAGGTAGCTTGTACGTCAAGGAGGAAAGTAACACAAAGGGACAATGGCTATCACATGCCCCCAAATATTAGGACATAGGTGGAAGAGATTTCTTCAGGTTATACATACTTGTGCTATATGTATCAGGGAGGGCTAT